GGCCCAATGCTAAATACCAACGTTAGTGGGTTCAATTTGTTGGCTGCCGGCCTGATTTTGGGCGCCTTGTTTGTTAGAGGTGAAAATTTTCGTTGTGCCACAAAAGCATATTGGACGTAGGCCAATGAAACATCATACACTTCATTTGTGCGGGAATATTGATTAGTCAAAGGCAAAATATTTTGTGGCTTTATATAGATGGCTTTATACATATGTTGGTATGTACGAATATATTTGCATAAATGTTGCAGGTGCAAGCGGGATCTGGGAAAATTAGGTCAGCGGGTCTTTCAACGAGTTGATGAATTTTCAGCGCTGTTTTTATCTTCTCAGTGACATACTGGACAGCAGTCGTACTGGTAATTTTAATAAAATATCTTAGTTTAAAAGGTGTTGAATATACTATATACTTTTGCCCCTGCTCCATATGAGCACACAATTATGCCAAAATTGGTTAAGGATGTAGTTAGTAAATTAAGAAAATTATTTCTTCAAATTAAGTCAGAAGATTGGACAGAGAAAAGATAATAGCCGGATGGGATGGGACAGAAAATCTGTTGCAATTCAAAGAAAAATGGATAAATGGCTTATCTATTTTGGGGGCGACTCTTTTCCCACTAATATTCCTTTATAGAAGCATTAAAGAGATGGCGATAAAAGAGTTGCCTTTAAATTTAGGCCACTTTATCTTGTAATCTTATACAACTTTCAACGTGGATTAACTTAGAAACAGTTCATGGACAAAATTTTACTAAATTTTAGTAAAAGCTAAACTGAGAGGTCAACGTTTTTCCACACCTCAAGAGGCTGCTAATGTGTCCAGAATATTTGTATCGAAAGCGAACTAAACAATGTGGGAAATTTTCTATCGCAAACTATGCATCGATATATTATCATGACTTCCACATAATTGAATTGTTTTCCTGGTGGCGGATTTGTTACTTCGGAGAATTGATTCTAAAATACACTGTCCTACTAGGTTTGCTTCTACTGAGCCTAATCTGACACTCCGTGTCTACGAACTACTTCAAAATAAAACGTGTATGGAGGTCGTTTCACATCCAATTTGCTGAAATCCATGATAATGGTTACTAGGGTTTCAATAATGTCCGATGACATATATGCAACCTGTTTCCTAGACAGATCTGTTTGGGATCAGTTTAGTATAAATTATGCGAGCACTGTTTGTGAATTTTACTTAGCACAAGATAAATCGCGAAATATCATGGTAACCTTACAATTATTGATAGTAATGCAGTGGTCCTAAAAATGCCGAAACTCCTGACAAGTAGTTATCTGGAAGGTATCATTTAAAAGTAGATATTTTTCTCTACACTTAACTCGCTTTAATCTAATATTTTCTTCGGATATATTGAAGGACGCTAGTATATTGCTTCAGTTCTATGTAAACGTTTAAATCTCTATTTAATACCGTTATACAAAAAACAATATTTTTCTCAAGCAATCCATCTAAATTATGGACAAATTTTGGGACACAATAACAGCCTTTAGATCTTTATCGGCTCACACGATTCTTTAAGAAGCACACCTATTGTAAAGGCCTAAAAAAAGTTGACTTTTGGGAATTTTTATTAAAAAAAATACAATTATTTCAAAATTTTAAGAATGTATTTATATATGCTTCAAGAATATACAGTGAAATTTTGGAAGAAAAAATTAATATTTAATATTTTTTAAGTTATAGTCGATATCCAACGGCGCGAAAAAAAGGTCCTTCACTGCTGCAGTGATTCCGGCCTTCTCCGTGGATGAAATCTTAAAAAAAAAATTCTCTACTGGATAATATTGTCTGTACAATGACCTACGATAAAAAACAAAAAATCAAAAATTGACAATACGGCGGCGTTTAAAAAAAAATAGTCTAATTTTACCCAAAATTTTGGTCGTTTTTGGCCTGTCAAAATTCGATTTTTTGATCAGATCAGTAATACAAAGCCGAGTGGCGACCGCAATTACAGAAATAGATTTCTTAAATTTTGAATGTTAGTCGAATCGGGTCTCAGATCCTCGCTTTCAGAATTGCAGCACACAATATTAATCACTCATGTATCGTGGGCACTAATCTTGTACTGTCATGATAATCGAGTGGAGCCAAGGAAAAGAAATAAAGTTTAGGATTTTCCTAAGAAAAACTTTTTTCTAGTTCAGAAGTTCGATTATTAGAAATTGAGAGAATAAAACGCATTGGAAGTTGCGATTTCGGGCTCTAAACAACCCACCAATCGGTTAAAGTGTCTGTACGAATCTGCTAGGCAAAGCATTTAAAAAAATAAATCGACTACAATGTGTTGTCCACTAGAAGTTGGATCGAAGGAAATATGTACGCGATTGATGATACTAAGTCTTTGCTGCCAGTTTCTATTGACGTTGACATCAGCAACATAGTTATTTTTATCGCTAATGGCCGTCGGCGTAATAGTTTATGTCACTTTTTGTAAATCCAGTATTTGCAATTTTATTTATGATGAACGACAGCGATGTAATGCTAAATTGAATTTTCTCCACAACAAAGTTATTTCAGTGATTTAACAACGATTTGCATACGAGTATATATGATAAATACAGATGTTCATATACATATGTTATATGTGCACCTATACTCGTACGAAGAGGGCTGAGTACGGATAAATGCAGTGTGTAAAATGTGCTTGGGTAATTTAGAAATGATAAAAATCTGTATTCATGTACCTAAATGTGCATAAATAAGTAAAATACAGAAGAAAATTAATATTTGATTATGTTAAAAAAATGTATATATGCATATCTGTGTGTATGGATTTTGCACTATAAGACAGTGCGACGATGAAACCAAAACTTAAAAAAAGTATAAAATTATTTAATATAAGTATTTATAAATTTTTATTTTTATATATATATACATTAAAATACATATATACATATACATTATATTTATAATAATTTAAACTTTCATTTGAATTTTAATAAAAAAAAAATAAAAATTTTCTAAAAGCATTTAGACGACAGAAGCAACACTTTGAAATAATTATTCTTTTTTAATCAATACAAGGAAGATGCGCATAAAAAAAGATTTATGTTTTAACATAACAGTTTTTACTAATATTCTTTACAGTCAAATTTAAAACATATTTATATTATTTTTTACTTTTTTAACGAGTTTTTTTTGCGTAAACACAAATTGACCTCCCTATTTATATGCAATTAAAATTAATGAATGCAAATGTGTAATAGCCAATAGCTTCAATGAAAAAAAATGTAAATATTCGGGCCGCACACACACTGGCAAGACTAACACATAAATGCAGGAGAAAGAAAATAAAAATTAAATTTATATACAATTAAAATTGATGAGCAGCAGCTGCTGATCAAAGCGCGTACGTCAAATGTTATTGAGTCCGATGATTGAGCCATTTTTGTAATTAGTTTTCATGTGCGATAATTTTTTCATATAAATTACAATTCATATTTGCATAATTCAAATAAAATGTATTTTTTCTTCAGTGCCTTTTTTTATTTTTTATTTTTTTACATTGCTCTTCATTTAGCGTTTTTCGTTTTTCATTTATAGCATAATGCTTTTATTTAATTAAAAATTGCCAATACGTGTCTGCCTTGTAATGTTTCGTTTTAGCAAATTAAACAAATTCTGTTTTCATATTAATTTTTTTTATTACTAATGTCTAAGCGCTAACTTGATTATTTTCGGTCTCTTTTTCAACGCATTTTATTGTTATTTATTGGCCTTGACAAAAAATGCGAAAAACATTAATCACATCGTTTATGAGCCATTAAGTATCAGTGGCCAGTCAATAGCGTAGTTACACACTGCAAGGGCTCTTGACGATCCCAAAACTGTTTACACAGGCGGACATGCATAAAGAAATAAAAAAAGCATAATCGTGCGATAGAATAGTTCTACTTAAAAAAAATATTTAAACAAAAAAATATATGTATACAAAACACAAAAAAATAAATAAATAAAATAAAATAAAACAGAATACAATAAATAAAATAAAATAAAACAAAAAGATACAAAAATGATATATGAAAAATAAAATAAAATATAATAATTTAAATTAAATATCGAAATTTAAATTAAATTAAAAAAAAATTAAATATAAATTAATAAAACAAAATGAACTAAAACAAACTAAAACAAAAAAAAAGAAACAAAATAAAATAAAGTGAAAGAAAATTAAATAAAATATATAAGATAAAATAAACTAAATTAAATGATGTAAAATCAAATAAAATAAAAAATAATTAAAATGAAATGAAATAAAATAAAATAAAATAAAATAAAATAAAATAAAATAAAATAAAATAAAATAAAATAAAATAAAATAAAATAAAATAAAATAAAACAAAATAAAGTAATATAAAATAAAATAAAATAAAATAAAATAAAATAAAATAAAATAAACTAAAACAAAATAAAGTAATATAAAATAAAATGTAGTAAAATGAAAAAGAAATAAAATATTATAAGATAAAATGAAAAACAAAATGTATTAAAATAAAACAAAACAAAACAAAGTAACTGAAATTAAAATAAAATAATTTAAAATAGAGAAAAAAATTAAATAAAACAAAACAAAAAAGAAATTAAAAGAAATAAAAAAAAAAGAAATTAAATTAAAAAAAAGCGAAATAAAAAAATATAAAATAAAACTTACAAAACTATTTATGAGATATATCAATCTGGCCGTTGGTTATTTACTGAGAGTATGGTACTAGTAGAATCTCTATTATAAAAGTGCTTACGAACCTACTGCTAAAACATTTTGTTTATTTTCGTTACCAAAGCAAAAGCTTTGCAAGACTGTTTTCGAAAGCTTTTGCCCGTTGCCATTTATTGTGTTGCTAAGCGAAATTTTTGTTTTCATAAATAAACGCCTAAAAATATGCAAACAGTTAACAAACAGCATAAAGAGAGTGTTTCTATTTTCGGGATTGAATTTACTTTATTAAAATTTGATATAAAAATAGTAGATAGTCAAATATTGAAGTGCTTTGAAGTCGGTTTTCCAAAATTTTTCGTAAATATATTTTTTATATTTATATTCACACATATTTATTTTTTGAAATATGATGCGAGAAGACGACATACGCAATGCCGGTACGCGACGCCGTAACTTACTGTTCCTCACGCAGCGCTTTCTCGCTGATTATGGCTTCTACCAAGCGGCCGAAGCGCTAAAGAACGAAGCACGCTTACCAGCAGAGGAGTATGAGCTTTGTGACAACATCGATTTGGATAGCATTTACTTGGAATACGCAAGTTACTATCATCTGAAATTTGGCAAATATCCAAAGATTGTGCGAAAGCTTAAGCCATCTGTGAAGGTGGAGTTGGATGCAAAACGCAAGTCGAAGTTTAAAAGTTGTCTGACTGCGACTGTGAATGCCGTGAGTACTGCGCCAATCGATATGCCACCGGCTGAACCACAAACAAGTCCAGGTGAACTGGAATTGACGGTAAAAAAGGTCGAGAGCTTAAAATCAGTGGAAAGTAATAGTACTTTAATAGCTTCGGCAGCGGGCATTAGTGGCACCAATATTGCCGTCGCTGGCGAGGAAAACCGCAGTACAACACTGACACGTCTGCAGGAGATTGAGCACATAGCAGGTGCCAGCTGCTCCGCTGATGGCCTACTCAATCAGCAGGATTGGCAAAACCTGGCTGATCTAGTGAAAACGACCATAATGCGTGATGAACTGAAACTAACTTGGGCCGATATGTGTGGTAACACAAGTGCCGTGGACATTGTCAAGGAGGCCGTGCTAATGCCACTGAAATATCCGCAACTCTTTGCGAACGGTCTGCGTCCATGGAAATCTGTGCTAATGCATGGTCCACCCGGCAGTGGTAAGACATTGCTAGCGAAAATACTCTACGCCGAAACGCGCAATCAGGTGACATTCTTCAACGTCACCAGCAGTGTGGTGGTCTCCAAATGGCGTGGTGAATCGGAGAAAATAATGCGCATACTCTTCTACATGGCGCAGAAACATGCGCCTTCGATTATATTCTTTGATGAAATCGAAGGTTTAACATCGCGTCGCGATCGTCCCAGTGATCACGAGTCTTCGAAACGTTTCAAAAATGAACTTCTCCAGCTATTGGATGGCATGGAGCAACAGACGGGTGGTCTCTTTGTGTTGGCGAGCACAAATTTGCCTTGGGACATTGACGATGCCTTTTTGCGTCGTTTCGAGAAGAAGTTACTCGTACAACTGCCGAACCCGGTGGAGCGTGCTATACTCATCGGCAAGCAGCTACCCATAAATGTGTCCGTTACAAAAGAGCAAATGGAATTATTCGTGCGTATTTCAGAGCACTTCACGGGCGATGAAATTCGCTTAGCTTGCAAAGAGATCGCCATGCAAATGGTGCGTCGTGTAACGCGCGCGGGTGGTAAACGTGAGGCAAAGACGATGGAGCCCGAAGTGCCACTGCAGCGCGCATTCGAACAAATCAAACCGCTGAGTGTGAAGCTGATGAAACATCATTTACAGTGGCAAGAGGAGCACGGTTCGTAGGTGGATACCCGTCAGGAGACTGAATATTGAATTGAAATTTGTGGGATATTATCTATTATGAATGAATTAATAAAATTACTTCTTATTTAAAAAGTAATTCTGAAACGAATATTTCTGTTTTAAGACAAAATTTTATTTAAACTAAAGCTCAGTGCATAGAAAATTCGGTCAAAGTTGATATGAAAGATTGACCTCTGAACATTTCTTCTTACAATCTTAACGGTAAGTTCCCAGGAGTTTCATAAAGGTTTGGCATTCCACAGATGACCATCTGCGGGTCAGGGCTGCAAATGTTTCCGTGAAATATATGAAACTAATTTGAGAGGAAATACTTTTACTATTTAGAAATATTTTTAAATGGCTCTTTGGAGAGCAAGTAGTCTTGAGTCGATCCTCCTAAGCTTCTAAAATTTACTTAAAAAAATTTAATTACATTTGAATATTTTAAATCTCAGCTTTTAAAGCATTTTTTAAAGCCGTAAAGCAACACAGTTGTTGATGAAGACCGCACCAAATTTTTTTTACGAGTTCAAATTGAAACCTCTCTTACTACACTTTTGCCTCTCGCCTGCAAATACCTCCCATTTGCTTCATTTATAGTTTCTCTAATTCAAAACGGCATATTTCAAAACTTCTGTGCATAAAGTGTATTTGCGAGACTCCAACTCATGAGGCACGTCTGTTTGATATTTACTTAGGCACTGAGGTAGTGAGTTACTGAGTCAAACACTTGTATGCATACTCGTATACCTTCTAATGTGTGTAAATATGTTCAATATGTGTACGTAAACTTTTATTAAATATATGTAAATTTTGAATTTTTGAAAACTTTGCGTCAAAATTGTTTTCAATTCAATTCACTTGAGCAGCACATCAGCGACAGTATGAATACACACACACACACACACAGAGGACTTATTATATATATGTGTACATAAATACTATATGCATGAGTAATCAGTGCATATTTCACTCATATAGGTGTATCATCATCAAGGCTATAATAAAACGTGTTGGATGGTAAATTGCAATCAATGTGCCACAAACATCGTTAGATGCCCATTTGTGCCACACATGAATGACTCTCAATACGTAAATGACGTGGATACTTAAGCTAATGTCTTTTTGAACTTTTCAAAATTTATTTTAAAAAATAAAATAATAAGCTAAAGAAAAATAAAATAAAATAAAACAAAATAAAGTAATATAAACTAATATCAAATAAAATAAAATAAAATAAAATAAAATATAATATAATAAAATAAAATAAAATAAAATAAAATAAAATAAAATAAAATAAAATAAAATAAAATAAAATAAAATAAAATAAAATAAAATAAAATAAAATAAAATAAAATAAAATAAAATAAAATAAAATAAAATTAAATTAAATAAATAAAATAAATTGAATATAATAAAATAAAGCAAAATAAAATAAAATAAAATGAAATAAAAAAAATAATATAAAATAAATTAAAATAAAATTAAATTTATTAAAATATAACTAAACAAGATAAAATAAAACAAAAAATATAATTAAATAAAATAAAATAAACTTATTTGCTATATATTAGGAAAAGGGACACTACAGTCTTTCGCCTTCGCATGGTGTTTTCCATGAAAGATTAAAACTCACTTTAAATGAACGCATCGGGCATATTCACCTGAGAAGACCTCTGGGGTAGACAAAAAAAAACTGCTTTTTCTGAATTCAACAACCCAACAAAGTGAAGCTAAGCACCACCAAATGCTCCGTCCCATTTGGAAATTGCCTCTGATTTATTCTAAATTTACAACTTGGACTTAAAAATCTCACCATGAAGAAAGAGAACAGAAAAGTAAAATAGTTATAGAAAGGTCTCCTCATACGGCGATTGGATTTTCGTTATTCAGTGCGATAATAATTTCAAAATATTTAATAAGATATAATTAATAATTACTACCTGCCAGTGGTGCGTCGTCGTGCCCCAGCAATCGTCATACGCGATATATATCGTCGTATGCGTCCACTAGAACGTCGTTGACCCGATGCCGAACGTATACTATACTCGGTAGCCGTTGAACTACGTCGATCGATCGGTATCACATCTGAGCACATCGAAGACGATATTATCGAAGCGGTTGAACGTCGTTTGCCACCCGTGAAAGTGCCACCACTCGATGAAGTTGTGGTAGCCGATGAGTCGGAGCGTGAGAAAAGTGACGAACGTTTACTGCGTGTACCCGACGGACAAACAGCATCCTGTATATTACTATAGAACTCCTCCGTTTCACGATCATATGAGTCTGGATCATGTTCATCATCTTCATCAGAGGCCTCCTTGGCATCCTCATCATGTGTAGCGGCGCCTTCATCATCTGTCGCTAGCGTATCGGTAGCGAGTGTTGCGGCGCGTCGCGGCAGAAATCGTCGTACGCCTACAAAGCTACGCGCAGTACTTATGCTAGTGCTGGCACTATGTTGGCCATTTGTACCAGTGCTAGAACTCACAGCACCAGTGCCATCAAGCGACGCCACCGTCGGCTCCGCCACCTCCGACTTTGCGGTATTGTACAACTCACTGCTGGCAGTTTCATAATCGGTGGAGTTACGCGTACGCCCACTATGACTACTGCTCAGCGAGCGATAATGTGAAGCCGAGCTGTGACTATCCGGCGAGGTGGGACGCGAATTGGCGCTCAGAGTTTGCTGATGTTGCAGCAGATGCTGTTGGCGCTGTTGTTGATGGTGCTGTTGATGATGCTGGTGATGTGGTTTGTGGTGGGAGCTGCGTCGTGTGTGGGGAGTTTCTTGCTCATTATCATCACTCTCGCCGCCACCAACACTGCCGCTGAAAGTGACTTCATGATATTTGAGTGATTTAGAAGATTTGCGGCGTGTTTGCAGTACCGAAGAGCGTCGTGGTGTCTCTTCCAGTTCATCGGCGGATGTTACCGGTTTTGCGGCATCATAAGTCTGGTTGCTGGGTGTGTTGGTATCTGCATGTTTTCCGCTCGAAACTGAGCTACCATTTGAGAGCGTCGTTGTGACAGATTTACCGTTATATTCACTTGCGGTTATTGGAACAATTGCTGTTGTTGTTGGGTATGCTTCTTTTATGTTTGAAACGGTTGCTGATGGCTGGCTCGGAGGGGATAACGTACGGTCTGCTATGACCGCTGTTGGTGGTGGGAGTATTACTGGGCGTGGTCGTCGTCTCCGCCACGGGAACGCACGTATAAATGCAAAGAAGATGAACAGTGTGGCAATCATAGCCGCTGGAGCATTTTGTTATCACTAAATCACTATTTGAGTATTTTATTTAATTTATTTTTATTTATTTTTTTTTGTCTAAAATTGGATTCTAAAGCTGTTTGTAGTCTGTGAGTATTTCTTGGGCAATAAAGTTGGGAGTTCACATCAGCCTAGCGCATTCTCATTCAATTTGCTAAATATAAAATATATCTTTATACACTTTTATAAAATACTTATTTTTATTGCGCGACCACCAAAAGTGTGCCAATTTTTTCGAATACAAACGATTTTTATTCGAGCGAGGAAGCCAAGCGAATTTAATGATGACCACTTTAATTTTTTTATCCTATCAGCAGATTGAGTAAATTAACTTATTTTCAAGTTAACTAAAAGTAGTGAAGATATTTCCTACTGGGTATTAACCTTTCTAATTTTTTTTGTGATAATTAATAATTTACTATTTAATTTGTTCGCATAAAATTCACATTAAAAATTAAAATTTCTTTTAATGTTATTTATTTTAAATTTATATAAAATTTTCATTTTCGAAAGGAGAGTACACAGAAAGTTGTTTCTTTTACATTGATGATATTTGCCATTTATACAAAAACTGAAATTGAATTCAAAATAACAGTTCTAAAATTTCGATACTGAGTGAGCCAGTGGAAGTTTTAATCCATTAAACTGAATTTATTGTTTTAAAATTTTGCATTTTTAAAATTAAATGTATGCATTCAATTTTCAATTCTTATGGAGTAAAATAATTTAATTATTTGTTAAAAAAAATTTTTTTTTCCTTTTGTATTATTCAATATAAATTAATTTAAATAATTTTATTTTATTTAATTATTTTAAACTCATTTTATTTTCTTTGCTTTTGATTTTTGTAATTTAAATTTATTTCATTTAATTTTATTTGGTTTAATTTTATTTATTTTATTTCATTTAGATAAATATTTTTCCGGCAGCAATGTTAATTAAAAAGCTTCAATTAATATATATAAATATGGATACATATGTAAAGTTCTTGATTTATTAATTTTTATTTTTTTTTTACTTTTTTTTTTATTTCTTACTTTTTTTCTCTCTCATAAGCCATCAGTTATCGGCACCTTTCATTATGCAGTGGCAATCAGAGGAATTCAATTCAAATAATAAATCGCAAAAACCACTTGAACAAATTAAATAAATCTCCCGCAAAAATCTTCACTTCCAAGCAAGCAAATGAGTGATTTAATAAAAGAACATAAAAAGGTGAAAAAGTGAAAGGAAAAAAAACTAATATAAAACGGAATTAAATTCAATTTAATATTTTTCATGATATTATCGTAAAAATATCGTTAACATGACAACATATATATGTGAATACATATATAGTTAGGAGTACGAACATCAAGTGGACTTATCTAAAATTGAAATCTCATTGCACATGTGAACGGCAAGACTAGGCAAGGGTGTGAGTTGAAGAAATTCTAATAAATCGGTTGGAGCACTATAAAAATTTTAATAAACAATAAATATTTTTATGATATTTGCTTAAGACTTCTCTTGCCCACCTTTAGGCGCAGGTTAGAAAATGTCTGTGAAAAATATATGGTATAAAAAACCAGCATATAAAAAATATTTTTTTATTTAAAAGTCAGCACAAAATTATTAAAATTCAGTCTATACGAGCGCATACATGGGTTTCCATAAAAACAATATAAAGAGATAAGTGCTTAATTTTTACTGTCTGTTTTTCGGTCTTTCTCTTTGTAGTAGGCTTAATCGTTACAGCAAAACATTCCGCCTTGTCTGGCCGCAGCTTCTTTTTTTTTGTTGAACGGTAGTCAATGGTAACAAAATTTTA